CCATTTAATAGCCTCTTAGTAACGAATTCACGTTGAAAGCGAAACTGTTTTTTCTTTTCTTTAATCGTTCATGTGTAAATGGTACCAAAGTCTCGTTTTATATGAAATTAATAAATTCAATATCACATGAACACCGTGTCAGACCCTCTATTTATTAATGGGAGAAAGGTGTTTTATAAAATCCTATATGTAATCGGCACTTGATGCCATCCTTGTCGTTGTAAGGCACACTCTCTGGTCTAACGTGTTTTACTATTTAACGTTGAAATATAATACATTATACAAAACTTCATTTCAAATTAAATTTCATCATTAATAGCCAACTCATAATCAACACGTGACATATTAACGTGAATTGGTATACTTTTGATATTAGTTTTAATAATTTCTGCATATGAAAACAATTAAACTTTATTTTGTAAATAACTCAGTTATAAAAAAAACATGTGTTTTTACCGAGATGTATTTAGGTTATTTATTATATAATTCACGTCCAACACGTGCGTGCATGAATTTGATTTAAACCAACTATCCTACATACCTACATACATTTCAACGTAATGGTTACACATTGTCTTTGTTAATAGTTGCTTTTACTTCAAAACCCATGTACTGCTTTACCGCTAAATATATATACATTATATCAAGCGCCTGGGATACAGTGTTCAAAACGCACGCGCTTGATTCAGACGATGACGCGGTATTTCGATTCAAGTTTTCGAAACATATAAGTAAATTATGGAGATTTATTACACAGAGTTATGCATGACACCATTTACTCGCTATGTTGGCAACCTTCAAAGAAACGCAGATGACCTGGATATGAGCTGTTTCAGGGGTCGAGGCGTAATGACTTAATTCGCCGATAACTTCCTCTCGGTTATCGCATATATAGCTCCTAAATTACGTTTATATCAAATATGTTTTTAGATTGACTGACATAATCTATTTTTAGCATTGCATTCATGTACACTGTGTGTGATTACGTGTGATATTTTCGGTTTCGAGGTCTGCTGTGTCCTGATTTTGACATTTGATTCAAGTTAAGATTCACATGTCAATCTTCCCAATGAAAATATGTATGTATTATATCGAGAAAGAATCTATATCGGATTTTAAAGATGAGATTCGGAATGATTCGTCAATGAAATCGAACATAAAACCCTAACAAACCATTTAATAAAATCACATTGCTATCAACTTACTCGGCTACAGTCTCCTTACTGTTTGTAAATATTGTGAAAACTGTAAATATCTCATTTTTGAAACCAATGAGTCGAAAGAACATCGTCTGCCAAACAGTACCCGGAACGTCTTTACAGTGTAATAGAAAGAAAACACTATTGTGATTCAACTACGTGCATTTTGCTCTTCTAGTTTGGCAGATAGCCGATAGGTGTCTCTGAATTTGAATAAGTGTCTCCACTTTCCTAAAAACAACATTTTATGGATTTTTACCTATGTTCAAGTTCAAGTTCTTTATTACCTTGGGTATTTTTAAATATTTACAGACAATACAATACAATACAATACAATACATACAATACATGTCCAATATCAGCAATGTACAAACAGTACAAATAAGTTAATTGGTTCTTCTTATAATTGCCGCTGTTATATATTTGGCCAAATTGACTAGTTCTTTTGTGTTATTTACATCAAATAATTTTATCATATTAAACATATATACTTGTTTTTTTACATAGTAATTTTTCAAAAACTTAACACGCAAATCCGAATAACATGGACTGAAACTCATTTTCAACATCATTTAAATTACATACAGTACACACTCTAAGACTATGTTCAATATTTTGATATCTTCCTTTTCTATATTTAAATTATGAGCAGATAACCTAATTTTTGTAATATCTTTCAAATATTCACTAGCTAATGGTGTTCTTAAGTAACACTGTAAATCATTGAATGTACCAATCCCTTAGGCTGTATGTATTGTGGTACGGGTTTTCGTTCCAGAATATTGGGAGATAACAATTGGACTATAATATTGACTATGTTAGTCATCGATAGATATATATTAATATCGCAATACGGTCCAAAGCTTGGGGCATTGATTAAAAGTACTCGAATTTGAAATTCAGAGCATCGTAGTAATTTGAAATGCATAACCCACAAATGATTTTAATACCAAAGTTGTGAAACACTTAAACATCATCATGCATTCTTCGTCAGGTGTGTAACTATTTGTACAAGACACAGGTCAATTCGTGTGTTTACAAAACCTGTACAATGACAGTATACCAATACCGCGTTAGATTGATCCACGGAAGAACAATGTGATGTTCTAGAATAATAACGATTACACCGTTACAACCTAGCTACACCATGGTGTAGTGTCCTCGTATGATACGTTAGTGTAGGTAACCCAAGTTTGGTGACCTGTATAACAATGTACATGTAAAAGCTTCACCTTGTTAGAAAAAAACGAGATATGGCAGAACTATTAGCATCGTCACGAAGACGATTGCAGTCCTTATACTCCGGTAGTCTTGAAGTTTTCGTTTTAGCGTTAACTATGCCTAAAATTTGCTTTGGTTATTTCCGGTTACCCTGCTTGGCTACTTCCGGTAACCCCGTTTTGACCCTCGATGTCAGCAGAATTCTAAGACGAGGGGATTCTCATTTACTAGGTTCATGCGTCATAACTGATGAGAGTTTACGGTTTTAAAATTCCAAGCAATGTGCCTAAATTTTCTTCTTACTTTTACATTACAATTTGTCTAACTCTTCATCTACATATGAGCAAATAGCAGACATATGTATCGGTCTATATAAAAAGACTATTTCTAATCCTACTGAACGACAATACAATGTTCCAACTGTTAGCGCACAAAAGCCCGGCATATTGGGCGTGTTATAGCGTTGTTAGAGCAGCACACTTCCGCTTACATTAACGGTCTTGTTCATGTTGGAGAGAAATGTAAACAATGGAGAAACAAAAGAGTCTACTTTTTATGTTACACGCCCGATTTTGTATTACACGTTTCTGTGAATGGAATGTCAATAAACGACACACTGGATGTCACTATGTCATCAAGTTTAAACCCAGCACTTCAGACGTTTTTATCGTCGCTATCTAAATTGGTCTCTTTTATTATAACACATAATAGAAAAGCTTGGGCGAGGGTAGTCGACAATAGTATTGGTGCAAACATTTTATTTTCGGATGGCCTCGAGTGAACAAACTATATGTACTTTACTTGAGCGTCAACGCGCTAAATCGTTTGATTGTACTAACATAAATGAACAGTTTCTTGATTCATATTTGTCAAATGCTAAAACTTTGAAGTCTTATGATGGAAAAATAATGAAATCATACCATTTACAGGAGACCTGAACGTGAAAAACAAAACCTAGGACCAGGTGACGTCACTCTTTCCTGGAATACTTTTATTATACCCTTTTAATTCCTCCCGTCAAACATCTGCCCTCCATTGCACTTAAATAACAGCAAGATATAAACGGAACTTTAATTTTCAATATTCTGCATTTCGTGGTTCATCAGACAGCATCATCAACGTTATACACATGCAGTGTTAAGACGCGTATAGGACCGCTATCCGAGAGAGCATCGTAACGTGCACAGCCCGTGCAGAAATATTTACGCCTACCGAAACAATAGCCACGTGCATATTAAGGATACCGGGACGATAGCCACGTGCACCCCTGTATCCTCCCTTTACTTCTAGCACAAGCTTAATGATCAAGACTACATGTTACATGTACAGAAGCTCGTGACGATAGTCCGATATTACTTTAATGAGCGATATAACTGGTATCATTAAGCTGCTTATCTGTCGATCACTGAAAAGATAACGATCGATTGTTTATGATGGCAGTTTTAAAAACAAAATCGCAAGACTGGAACAAGTTAGTTTCCGTGTAAAAATGAAGCCCCCGCCCCCCTCAAACTGGGTCCGAAGTGCCTGTTCTTCGAAAAAACATAAAGGAGACCTACTACCAATTGATCTTCATTTGTACATTGTTTTAAACATTGCATTGATGCTTTTATAATTACTGTTTTAGTACTTATATACTGAAGTCAGCAGACTTCAGATTCCTCTTTTATTCTGTTCTCAGATTTTTTACCCTTTTTTTATCCTGACGTTGTTTTTGTTTCATCTTATCAGCTGTCTAATCAACTTATCAAAAGGCGATGACCCTGTACATAAGTACACGTGTGGACGCTTAAGCACATCAGTAGAACGTTTGACTGTCACACGAACTTTGATGTTATAGTTGGTCCATTATATACATAAAACAAGTAAAACAGCACACGAGAAGGTGATTCACGTCCGTTTGCTGAAAAATCCACTCGTGTATAGGACTATAAGTGTAGGGAAATACGATTGTTTGTTTCCCTGCAAGAAGTCATGTTTCGCAGGCTCCGAGTAAGGGAAATCTGACCGGGGAAACTCAATAGTCAATGTAGTCTTGAAGCAATCTAAAAACCTCAAATGCAATTGGTACATCTCCACATCAAAGCGAATATAAACGAGAAATTTTAAGAAATGCATTAACACTTTTCTTACAGTCATCAAAACAAAAGTTAGAGGTCAGTTCCAAATGTTATGACTGGCCATGATATGTAAATTAATATAATCAGTATTTGTGACCTCTGATTAAAACACAAAAGTCTGTAGAATAAACATGCAGTAGGTTCGTTATAACGAGCTCGGGATGTGTAATCGCCGTGTAATATCCTAGTTATATATGCTTGCAACCGCGTGTCTAGGGGTGTATTTATGTATCTCGAACACATTAACATCGCATCTTTATGAGCCTGTTAGTGTCGAGATAAAAATAGGTTGTAAAAATACAATGTTTAGTACGTTTGTTTTATCAATGACTCGTTGTTATTATAATTGCAGCTTAGAAATTACTTGACAAAATATTTAAATTAATATTTTATATTTATAATTCGATCACCATCATGAAATGACAAATTAATAAATGTATTTATTGCATTTTTTTTCCAGATTGACAACGGATCAAAAATGAAGAATACAATGATTGCCGCCTACGTCCTTTTGACCTTGACCTTGATGGGTTCTGCGCAGGCTGACTGTGTATTTCCATTTTACTTTATGCATATTCCTTGGTACTATAAGATTGCAGCGAGCAAATCAGTGAGAACAAAGGTAGTGTTCACGAATAACGATGTGACATTCATCTGGCAACAGTTGCCAAGTGATTACATCATCAAAAGTGAGACATATGATTGTGAAGAAATGGCAGAAATGAATAAATTTATTTTGAAATCATTTGATGATGACGGAATTATGGTGTATAAATGTTTGGAAGTCATCGAACGGAGTAAATCAATCATGCAATTTCGGGAGTCAAAAAGTCAGGCAACAAAATCCCCGTCCCTATGCAACCCGGAGAACCTCGTTTTGGATCCGTGGCTCGTGGTGTCATACAACAACATAGAATCGGACAATTCGCCCTGTCCGTTGAACGCTGGTTACAACATGAAAATTGCTGACGGTAATGGCAACGATCATGGCTGTAACTTTATGGACCTACCTATGCGGTTCGAGAGTGATTGTTTAGCAGGTGAAGGGATGGTTTTGAATTTCCGTAAACACGAATGTACTAGTTTCCTATCAACTGAAATTCTACAGAAAACCATCTGTGTTACACACTGGGTCCAGGGCAGCTTTATGTTTACCATAGTCCGAAAACACGAGAGTGGGGATATTTGGTGTTTACGGTTCCCGAGTCGGAGGTTAGGGAAAAACGTCAAGGTGGAACTATTTACTGATATTATATGTCCGGACGATTCACCCTCCAATCACAACATCAAATTCTTCACTCTTTATCTCGAAAAAATAGTCCAGATGGAGTTATGTGCGGACGAATATTCACAGTGCTCGCGTAAACCTTGTATGTCATACATCCGTGATCAGTGTCACAAATCCTGCGGGAAATGTATGGTCGACGAACCGCTACCAATATGTTCATTTCCAAGGCGATTTCGAGGGGAATGGTATCTGGGAAGCTCACAAACAGAAAACATAAACATTTCCGAGTCTGTTATGCAAATTGGATCGATCGGTCATTTCAAATGTGTCGCTTTTGCAGATTCACCACCATCAAAAGAACGAATATATACGACAATATCACTGTTTGAAAATGGCTGCCGACCGCGATACACTTGTTTGGATTTAAAACGGATAAGTCCGTCCGTTATTGGGTTTTCCATTAGTCAGAGTTTTGTGTGGCCCCTCAATGACGACCGGCCCGGTGAATCGATCTGCAGCAAAGAAAGGTTTGAACCCGATGATGAACCCATTGGTGATCGATACCGATCGTTTCCAAATGCAGCAAAGCCAATACTTCCGGTTTCTCGGAGTCTTGTGCCTACACCGTGTCATCTAAAATCCGTGCATAATTACTATGCGCAGATTAAAAGCGGAACCGGATGTAGAGGCAGAATGTACCAGGATTGTAAAAATTCGTCACTCATTCGCATGGAGTTCAACAGATGTCGTACTCAACAAGAACCGTTAAATTTCATGTGCGTCGCAACTTTCAAAGGAAGATATTGGGAGAAACTACTTATCCTGGTAAATCTTAACAATCTGTACGACTCAAAGTGCCTGGCGTTTACGTCACTAAAGCCCATGGAGGCATTAATGTTACATTCGAGTCAGTGTGATATGTACGCCTGGTCGTACTACGACTCTTCGATACGCTCGGCGTACATGCATTTCCAACTTGAACCGAAAGATGAGACCTGCATGGATATACCTTTCCCTACTACAACAGCACTTCCGGCCATATCCGAAGCAAACAAAATGGTAGATGACACATCTCTCTCTGATAAAAAGCTACCGAACCCTTCCCTGATGAGGGACGGCGTTCCTACCCCAATATACAATATCCCAAGTAAATCAGGGGATTCTAAACCTTCTTCCAAAAATACCGGAGGTTTAAATAAAGGGGAGGTAATAAGTGACTCAGAAAATAATGCGCCAAGATATTTAATGTCGGCCTATTCATTGTTAGTAAGTTTATCTGTTTCTGTATTTGTTCTTATTATTAGGTATGGAGATGAAGGATTTTAGATGTGAAAGAATAAACATGTTATTTTCGTTCATACATGTATTAAAGTTACCGGACTCTATCGATCCTCAGAATCTTGTTGGAAGAATAAATCATAAGACATGCCTTTATACACTTCAAAAATCATAGAATCATATTTCAGACAGTATTTGCAATAAGGATTTTTTTTTTACGTATCAAAACATATTTATATAATTTGTTGTGAAATTATATATTTAACTTATTTTCCTGCGTTGCCATGTAACAAAAATATTTTTATGGCGATATAAAGCGTTATTTCTTATCAGGAAATGAATCTAGGCGCAGCAATCCAATACATCAACTCGGGAAATATCGTAAACCGAAAGATATGCCGGAAATGTCCGAATGGTTTACGTACCACGTGCACCGTAGTGATGTTTCTTGTTCAGATCGCCGTACATACTAATTTTTGTTTTCTATTTTTACATTGACTTTTTGTAGACGTTAAACATATAAAAATGTAAATATCACCCACTCTTTCAAAATATTTCAGAACGAACTGATGTTTGACACGATATTTTGGTGATTTATTTTTATTGCGTGACTTACAATAATGTAGTTCCGTATTTCTATCTTTTTCCGGTGAAGTATCACAACCAGATCACGTGCTACTAACCGCTTCCTCCTTCGGTTTTTTATGTGTTTGCGCATGATACTGCAATCAAATTCTCCCCTTTGCTGTTTCCTTGGACATAAATCTAGAGTTACGTGCTCGGTGGGGTCTGCCCGTTTCCTGTTTAGGGAAACTAGAGATGTTTAGTTCTCAGGATTTGATGGGTTCTCTTGAAGTAGGTATCGGTCTGATGGAAACACAAATATCGATTGAATTCGAGATTCAGAAATAATAAAGCCGACTTACAGTGGGGTTATATTGAAAATATCATGTTTATTCAAGGAATAACCGGGATTATTTGGGTGGTATACGATAAAAACCGAGAAAAATGTGTGCACCTTACATAATATGCAAAGTGTTTCATGCAAGAAGATGAGGTTTTTCGGTTTATAACGTAAACCCCCCAAATGTATTCTCGTTATTCCTCATAGTAAATAAACATATCTAAATGTCTAACAACAAAACAAAACAAATTTTGTACAAAACACAACTTCGCGCTGTTATTTCAAAATATGTAAATATTTTTTGGAAATTTTACATGACGGATATTATACCATTGGTTGGAAGAATAATTGCAAAGGGCCAAATAAGGATACAGTTACAAACATTGTACTTGTCATATTGATGGATAGTACAGGAAACTTTCATCAGATTATCATGTTCTGTTCTAAATTATTGAAACCCTATCATCACGTGATACCGTGTCAGTCAAAGAACATTGCTATTCCATAGTGTCTGATATTTCTGCCAAAATCGGTCACCACGTTTAAAAACGTTTTTTTGTTATCAAATTGAAATACCAAGATAATTTTATCAAGTCTGGCGTGTCACTCAGGCGACTTTGTGTTATTGACCTGATGGGTATAGATCTGCAGTCTGTCAGTGCTGTTCCAGTAGAATAATGAATAGCGTAAGTTGTAAGTGCGGTCACATCAGGATCTGGCCACTGATATAGCTAATGGTATTGCTCACCCCTTTGTTATGAAGACGGGGAGACTCAACTCGAGGGGTAACGTTTTCATGACCAGACAAGTGAAGCTTAACATTTCACCAGAAGGTTTGCTACATTTTCATTGCAAAGGGAAATATGTATTTCTCTCCCACCAATAGTGGACGGGGAAGTAACTAACAGATCAGTTTAGTAAGATATTACTGCAGATCGGCAGACGAGAATCCTCGAGACCTTTTTGGTGTCAACACTAAAGGGTTTCGAAGATTTTCGTATAACATGAGCGTTCCTATTTTTGTGGTGTTCTTACTTTGGTGGCGTTCTTCTTTGATAATCATTCTCGCGGTGTCGCTGATGCTCTCATTTGTTTTTGGTGCTAACTGAATTACATAATTTAAAAGTATATTCGTAGAGGGTAAGGGACGTTAATCAAAATTATGATAGCTCTAATTAATTTTATTTAGTATAGAGGTCTGAATATATCAGTGCACAACAAATCGAATTAATTGACATTCACTTTTACGGACGAAGTTGCATCTCTAACTTTTTCTTGTGAACCATGATTAAAGTCGGCATATACTTGCGCCAAATAAACATGCATGATTTGTGTAACCACGTCAGCATTGATCGTTGCTATTGGCTACCACCGCGTGTCTTCTGTCGCCAGCTCGACTACAAAAATCTATTTTGATCGAAATGATTTGGACATTGTCACTCAATTTACAACGCTTAATACGAGGGAAAAGACAAGATTGCAGGAAATGGGCTGCATTTTTACCATTGATATATCGCTGTCTATTCACGTCAACCACGATATCGCAAAGACTAATTTCCGGATATCCTTAACGCTATTTTGGTTCAGTGGATTATTATCCGACCATCGTCTCATTTCAAATGCATTGGCATGTCATTGGAGGATGCTAATCTTTTCAATTCTTTTTGTTTTAGATCAATCTTTCCAGTAGCGGGTAATCTGGTTTTGTTCTGTCAATGTTCGTCATTTTGTCTAATTCGAAAAAATGATACTTCCTTAGCTTTCATCATATGTAAAAAAAAAACATTATTAGTAAACTGTTTAGAAATAATTAAGTGCCAAAGGTCGAATTTTACTTCACTGTAATCTTTTTTGGTATCTCCTCCTCACCCACAGAATATTTTAATACATCTATTTGTTATGAATTTAGAAAGTTCACCTAGTTCTACAGGGGAAACGAGCCTGCAGGATTTGTCGTTTTCAGATCAACACGACAAAATAGTTTACGACTTCTCTATTAAATTTCGACTTTATCATCGAAGGCCAAACAGAATTTTCGGAGTATATAAAATCACGAGATTTAACAAGATATTTGAAGATGCACGTGCAATCGGAAACAACATAAAACCATTTCCAAATCTTGTCATTTCAATTACAGAGAGCATTTTGAATCACATGACTTACCTGTTTGAGATCACAAATTTGAATTTTACCTTCGGGCGCCATTATCCTAATGAAATTTGATACACTTGAAGGAACGGTTATTTCATCAAGAAAAAAACTGAGTCTGAAGATGTAATTAACACATACATTATATGTGGTTGTCTTTGTACGAAATGACCCTTCTATTGATCATGTAATATTTCTTTTTGTACAAAAAAAATAATAATTTATTCCATCTTGATTTCTTTGTCTTAAATTGGTTAAAAAAAGTTTGAATTTTAATTCTAATGAACCGAATAACACAGATGTTAATCAATAAGAATGAAACTGGTTATTTTTCTTTTGTCTTGCTTTTTAATGGCTACTGAATATAGGAAGCGCCACAAATCAGACATTCAGTGATCAACTCCCACAAAGTTCAGTCAAGATTGATTGATCGATTGATTTATTGATCATCGATCAATGAATTAAATTAATTGATTGATTGATTGATCGAAAGATCAATGGATTAAATTGATTGATTGATTGATTGATTGATTGATTGGTCGATAGATCAATGGATTGAATTGATTGATTGATGCTTTACCTCCTTGTAACTGTACTCGGGCAAAATGTACGTCCTCAAAAAATAGAAAATCTCAAACTAAGACACGACTTTTCTTAAAATGATTTTAGAATCTATATGCTGTGTGTCCAGATTCTTCAGAAATATTTAAGTACCCGTCACCATACAACAACTTTTATTGAAAGTTCGTTTATACATGAAAATAAACAATATTGTTCATAATAAATATTTAAATTTTTCGCGATGTTATATCGGTGTCTTTGCAGCCACCGAAGTCCTTCAAGATACTGCCATACGTGAAATTTGAGTTGGAAACCTAAAAATGAAATGTTCGACTAATAAAATCTCAATTTTATTTATTTTGATATTAACATTGAGTGTTATTTATAGTTTATTTTAAGAAATATCTATTTCTTACATACAGAGCCAACTTATGTCCCCTGTGTACAGCTTTGCCATACGTATATTCCTATGATATTTATGTTTGTTTAAAACACATCATGCATCTGGTTTTATTAACGTTATAAATGTTCTTTTAAATACATGTACTGTTTATCATCTATATTTCGAAAGGAACATGTCGTCGCGTTTAGTTGTAACTTATTGTCATGTTTATTAACAATGAACAAAGTATCGCCGTTTATTCACGACGAACACATCGTCGCGTTTATTCACGATGAACACATCGTCGCGTTTATTTGCGATGAACACATTGTCGTGTTTATTCGCGATGAACACATCGTCGCGTTTATTCGCGATGAACACATCGTCGCGTTAATTTGCGATGAACACATTGTCGCGTTTATACGTGACCAGATCGAAATCTCAAGACAATTTAGATATATATACACACCTACATGTATATAATATCCTTTGTTTTATGAATTCCAATTATTGCGAACATTGCTTTTATCACAACTGCAAATATTATCTACATTACAGTACTTGTTATACATAATTTAATAAATTACAAAATCATGTTGTAAATATATTGACAGTGCAATACTGACCGTGTGTATGTAAGTAATAAAAGATGGTATGTGTTTGGATACAGTTATATTTTTATCTATCGTATATCTATAATTATCAAACAACTTCTCTTAAAGTGAAATGTTGGTTAGCGAACTCCGAATTTACGTAACAATATAAAGTGACGTCAAATATCTTGTGACCTAATGACAATCGTATTTGCCAGTCAACGTTGCATTATCAGAGTTAAGATGAAAACCTCCTACATTAGTAGAAATAATCGGATACAGAGATATACATTTAAACAATAAAACCTTATTTATCCAGAATTTATGATGACATATTTGATAATTAGGAAATTACACTTCAGGGTTTTCGGCCACTTGGTTTAATACCACAATTGTAATGTATTTATTTTGTTTTTAGTTGAGAACTTTTTTTTTTTGGAACAAATTCAACCTTTAAAGCGGTCGTTTAATATAACAATCAAACTTTTCTGTTTTTGTTTTGTTTTTTTGTTTAAATTTTAATTCAGAAATTAAAATGTACGCATAGTGATGGTGCAGAAATGTTTTATAGTGGATGTGTAAAAAGCAGGTTTACAAAGATCACATCGTTTGATTAAAATT